CGATCTCGAAATTACCCTCACCAAACAAGTCAGTCAAGAGGGCATAGAGGTTGTCATATTTCACATAACGAGGGTTGAGCTTCTGTGTCTGCATAGTTATCGATATCGGAATATAATGCCCTTTGACATAGCTATCGGTATGTTCAGTGCTATATACTCGCCAAAATTGATTTGTAGCATGCGTATCACGACCGCCTGCAACGACAATCTGCCTCTGTAGACGCTGTGGAGGATGGCACTCGCACCGTTGAACGTTACTCGAGCAGCTGTACTATCAAACATCCACTGCATGGATACGCCCCCTCGGCTGATACAGTCAGGCCTGAGTCGATATAAGTACGCCATGTGTTGCATATACTACGCATAAGCAGCACACACGTTACTCTATCCGACACACCAATAGCTCATCCTGGTGTGCCGGTATTATTCCTACGCATGTAGCTGCAGCTATGCGATTCCAGTGAGCAGGGTAGATCGTGTAACCCTGCTCAGCCACTGGGCTTCCCCTCGGTGCTTTAGCTTTCTGAGAGAGAACGAATGCCAGTCTCTTCGCTCCTTCCAATTCTGGGATATACTCATGGCGTCGATTTATTTTCAACGAACGTTGTTCCAGGAACAGAATTCAGTCGACGAAGAGCTATATGACAGCAAGGTGGCATTCATCTTTGAGCAAGAAGAAACAGGATCAGTTATCGAGATGCGCTGCTGGTCAGACTTCGTCTTGGAGGAATACCGGGAGAACAGATCTTCTTCTCATCCCACAACAACGACTCATTTGGCTGACCATTCTCCTTCGCGAGGTGATACGGAACGCATGGCGGATGAAAGCCTCATCCTCTTCTCACCCACGCAGCAGTCGAGTGATGCGACCGAACAATCCACAGCTGAATCTACAATGATGCACGTATCAGGAGGACTTTCAGAACTGTCCATAGTAGATCTTGATCTTTTGAAAATCACAGGGTATATTCAGGTAAGTGTCATAGAAAATTAGGCACAAACCTCACTGAAGTGGTTCCTATCATAGAAGACGGAAGGTTGCCTCCGAATCTTGTAAGGCGAATGTAGCATTCTTTGCTCCAAGACCAGGCAAGCTAACAGAGACAGTCTGATCCGACGCTGAAACTCTTGTGGTCGCTTGCAGCTCACGAGAGATAAATTTGATCTTTTACTTCAGGAGCTCCGCGTTGCCCCTCAGTTCAAAAATTTCACGGTAGACTTGTGTTCAAAATCGGGGGACACAGAAATTGGACCAGCACAATTGAGAGGTTGTATTCGTTTGGATGCTGATCTTAGCAAACCAGGAGGCTATGAATATGGTATGTTGAGTCTTTGATTCGTCCTGTGAGTTTCAGGTATTGCGCTAACACTGAGGGACTGTGCATACATTGTACGGTACATGGAACACACAAGGCGTCCGAATAAACCTCCATGGTCTCTTCGACAGTTTGCTTTGTGTCAGAAGCATCAAACGTTAGGATTATCCTGGATCCTAGTGGGCGCATATCCCAGGCCTGAGGACTGCTTCAACGAGTATGCGAAAGGCACTGCTGTTAAGGAACGTAACCCCTTCGAGCTTCACGTCATCTTCATTGATGTCGCCATCGCTTCATGGAGACCATATCTCATTCATCTTGAGGAGCTTTGGATAGAATTTGTGAGAAACTATCCATATACTCAGCCTCATAGTGAGCTAACTACAGACAGTCTGACAAAGCATCTTTGACAACCATGGAAAGCAAGCAGCCTCTAAGGAATCATTACAGAGTGCAAGCACAGGATTACACGGATCTGAAAGAGCTGGAAGATCATGTCACCAACGTAACACTATGTTTAGACTCTACTCTGGACACTCTCACTGCCCTCCTTAACTTTTACCAAAAATATCGTCCAGGGAACGAAGGCTCTCCTCATAAAGCAGCCTCTTCATCTGATCTAGTCTCTTTTGCACTTCAGCAGCACCAGAGGCATGTGATCTACTCTCGGAAGAAAGCTGAAGCACTGCTTGCTAAATCTCGGAACACGCGCAAGCTCGTAAGCTATTGTTGTCTTTTCACTTCGAGTATACTCACGAGTAAGAGGACCCTCACAATATAGCATTGTGTCATCATAA